CAGTTTTTGGCTGGGGCCAGCTTTGAACCCGCCACCCCCAGTATATGGGGCCAGTGCCCTACTCCTTGTGCCACAGGTGCTGCCCTTAAAAATATATTTCATTTGGGGGGATTTTCATTCCATTCTGTTATTGTAGAGTTTTACTTTTTCTTTCATTCATTTCTTTTATTCATCAATTGATTAAAATTAATTATGTATTTTATTGACTTATTTTCTTACTCCAATCTTTTTATCATTTATTTTCTTTTTCTATGCTTGATCTTAGTCAAAAGGCCAAGAAGCATTATCATCTTTTTCTTAAGTTAGCTTTTAAGATTTTGCTATAGTACATTCTTGAGTAATTGTTTTGTAATTGAATCCTTTCTTGTCTGCAGAAGTGTCTGTTTTTTCCTCTCACTGAAATGGGTAATCTAGGTAAAGAACTCTAATTTCACAATTACTTTTCCTCCAAAATTTGAAGATGGTACTCTGTTGCCTTCAAGTATGCAATATTGCCAGTTAGTAGTTTCATATCAATTTAATTCTCATTTATTTGTACATAGTCTGGCTTTTTTGTGTGAATACTTTTAGAATTTGCTGGGAATTTTTTTTTCTGTGAAGAAATAACGGTATGTTTACAAGAGGGTGTTTAGTTGTAGGTTTTTTTGTTTGTTCGTTTGTTTGTTTTGTAGAGATAGAGTCTCACGTTATCACCCTCACCCTGGGTAGAGCGCTATGGCATCATACAGCTCACAGCAACCTCCAACTCCTGGGCTTAGGCGATTCTCCTGCTTCCCAAGTAGCTGGGACCATAGGTACCCACCAGAATGCCTGGCTATTTTTTGGTTGCAGTTTGGCCAGGGCCACGTTTGAACCTACCACCCTTGGTATATGGGGCTGGCACCCTACCCTACCGGTGCCACCCAAGTTGTAGGTTTTTTCACATACCTTTTTTAGCATTCACTGGGCCCTGAATCCTGGGAAACTTTTTTTTCTGTTGTGTCTTTGACTATTTTCTCTCTCTTCAGTCTATCTTCACTATCCTCATGGAACTCTCTGAGATGGATTTTTACTTTTATTGTTCCATTTGTCTATTCTTTTAATATGCATTCTAGGAGAATCCCTCAGTTTTCTATCACGGCCATGTTTTCATTTTGCTCTTCAACACTCTAGATTGTAGGCCTTAGATAAAGGTAGCCTGATACTTAGCTATGAGACGAGAAATTACTTAACCTCTTTTAACCTTGGTTTCCTCTTGTGCAAAATGGCTGTCCTAATAGTTCCTCTCACATAAGATTGTGCAAACATTGGCTGAGAGCTTCAGAAAGACACAATAGGTATTAGTATTATCATCTTCTTCAGTGATTTTATTAATTTAGAATTGTAGTTATTTTTCATAGCAGCATGGTTATAGTTTATAATTAGTTAAATGTGATATCTTCTCTGATTTCTGTGGGATTTTAATTATGTACCTTTTATATTGTTTCTTCTGGCCACTGTTCCTTGCTTGTGCCTCTCTTCATTAGCTTGCTAATTTTTTTTGTCTCCTTATGTTTTTTCAGAAGTCTTCTGTTTTCAGTATAATACTGGAGTGCGCATCCTTGGCTGATGCTTGACCAACTTTGGGACCCATGTATGTTCTAGTTTAGGAGATGCCCCTACTTATTGGGTGCGAGAGGTAGATAATAAGAATCCAGATGGTGTAGGCCATTATTTAAGACTGCTTTTTCATGCTGCTAGTTATATGTGGTACACCGTTCTTCTTAAGCCCCAGCTCTGGATTATCTGCCCTGTCAAAACTCCTTCTGAGGTTACCTTGAGGCTTTATCCTGGGCACATACAGAGTTACTTGCTCCTTTTTGTACCTTAGTCGATCTTATCACTGTGTAGATTCAGTGTTTCCTCGGCCTCTGTCTTCAGCCAAATAATACTATTAGAAATCTTTCTTTGGCAAATCATTTATTTTATTCTCCAGGCTTTATATGGGGCCACTGCTGTTAGCTACTTAGTATTTCTGTGTTTAAAGGGAAGAGAAGGGTTGGGAGAGGTGCTGCTAATGAAACAGCTATCTCACCCATTAGGAATGTCTAACTTAAATTAATGAATCTGTCTTTACAATTGTTGATTCTGAGTTTGGAATTAGAATTCTAAGACATCTTGAGATCTGATAGCCCTAAAGAAGCCTTCTCCTGTAGATGATTTGAGCTGTGAATTTTTTCTCCCTAGTTTCTCCATCTTTCCTAATCCATCTGGCCTTTATCACCTGGGAGTTCCTCAACATTTTTAATTCTGGTGATGTCAACCTTTTTTCCAAGACTATTATGGATTTCTTTTTTTGTCATTTCAGTGTAATATTTAGATGTTTACTGTAATTGTTTTGACCAACATATATACCAATAAGTCTAAACCTGTATTCTAAGTACAGTTCTCTCTCGGGAGTTCCAGAGCTACATATCTCACTTTTTACTGAACAGTGCCCATCAGCACCACAGTTAAATAAATGAGGTAGATTTTTAGTTTGTCCTCTGCTCCCTCCCCCACTCCAGCCTTGTCCTCTTGTCTTATAATACAGCACAACTATACCTAGTCACTCAGGCAGGGAGCCCAGGGAGCATGCTTTCCCTGGGCTTTACCTTGCCTTTAGGTTTAGTTTGTCATCCACCTAATTTAGAATGAATCTTTCCCCTTTTCTCCACAACCATCATCCTTACCACTTTCCTTCTGAGACAGTCTCACTATGTCACCCTCGATAGAGTGCCATGGCGTCACAGCTCACAGTGACCTCAAACTCTTGGATTTAAGCAATTTTCTTGCCTCAGCCTCCCACGTAGCTAGGACTACAGGCACCCACCTCAATGCCGGCTATTTTTGTTGTTGTTGTTGTTGTTGTTGTCATTGTTATTTGTGGCCAGGCCAGTTTTGAACCCGCCATCCCCAGTGTTTGTGGCCAGCACCATAACCAGCTGAGCTACAGGCACTGAGCCTGAATTTAAATCCTTTAATAGTCTTTGATCTCTGCAGTGGTTAGCCCTAAGTCTTTAGGATTAGACACCCAGCCCTTTGCTCAGCCTGCTACCTTCCCCTCGAAGACATTCTTCACCACCGTTAGCTTTTTTATATCCTTCACAAGAAGCTGATTGTAGTCTTCCAGAACATGTCATAATTTCTCTCCACATTTCACTTTTTTTCCCATGATTTTCTCCCAGAAATATTCTTAGTGTCCCAAAGTTTGAGTTGTGTGCTCCTATTCTGTGCACTCATAACTGATTCACATGTCTATTGTATGCTCATGCTCCCCACATGCCATTGTTGTTGGTATGTTTGTCTTTCTCCCAAAAGCCTTTAGCTTCTTAAGCAAAAAGATTTATGTTTTCTTTCTTGTATCCCAAACACCTATGACCATACAATGCCAACTAAATGTAAATTAAAATAAAATAAAGGGAAATGAAGTAGAACATTATTTGTGGCAATGTATAGGATTCGTAGGCCTTTCCAGGATTAAGAAAGGAATACTTCTGTTGGCAGTGCTTAAAAGCAGAGAGAAAATTTGTGTCTTCTGTACCCACTTATTCTCTCCTTCTGACATTAACCCAAAGGACAACACTATAAGGACAAGTTGAACTTTTTCCTGGTTCCTAAATTGTAGGCACTCCTGTTCTATATTCTTGAAATCTGCCCTCTGTTCTTATTGCTAAATTCTCTTTGTTCCCTAGGAAACTTGAATGAAAATTCTGTGGAGAATCTTCAAGAGAAAAGACTTCAGGATCTGTCATAAGAGCTTTCCCGCTGGCTGACTCTGGAAGAAATGACCAGTACAATAACTGGTAGTCAGGATGATTTTGTGAATCTTCAAGGGGAAGTATATGGGGAGCCTGAACTAGGTCTCCCCACTTGTCAAAAGGAGGGAGAAGCCTCTTCTCATACTTCCAGAAAGAACAGTGTGGTGACTCTTCAAAGTCATGATTTCAAAAACACTGAAAGTGAAAAATATTTGTCGTTGAAAGCTCGAAGCCAAATGGCCACACAAGACTCTTCAGCGAAGGCCTGTAAGAATGAGCCTCAGGATGCTCAGGATAGCAAACGTCTCTTTGTAACTGAAGAAAGCACTGAGAGCAAAGTGATAAGTGGGGGAAATTCTCCCATGGATCATTGTTCAGAGAACCTTCAAGTTAAACCTGTGTCTGATATAACAGAACTGGACTCACCATTGTCCAGTGGTGAAGCAGCTCACCAGAATGGCCAGTTGAAAGACTCTTTGGATCCCTTTGACTGTAACTGCAAAGACATTTATGGATGGAAATCACGGTTGGTCAGTTGTAGTCAGCAGACAATTTGTGCAGAGGAGAAACCATGTAACCGTAATGACAATGGGGAATTACTTAACCAAGGTGCTCATCCATCTGAGGAAATCCACACTGCAGAGAAACTCTACAAATGTGTTCAGCGTCATAAGGACTTCAGTCAAAGCTCAAAGCTGCTGCTTCATCAGAGAGACCAAACGGAAGAAAAACCATACAAATGTGAGCAGTGTGGGAAGGGCTTCACCAGGAGCTCAAGTCTTCTTATCCATCAAGCAGTCCACACGGATGAGAAACCTTACAAGTGCGACAAGTGTGGGAAGGGCTTCACTAGGAGCTCAAGTCTGCTTATTCATCATGCAGTCCATACAGGTGAGAAACCTTATAAATGTGACAAGTGTGGGAAGGGCTTTAGTCAGAGCTCCAAACTGCACATCCACCAGCGAGTGCACACTGGGGAGAAGCCCTATGAGTGTGGAGAGTGTGGTATGAGCTTCAGTCAACGCTCAAACCTGCATATCCACCAGCGTGTCCACACAGGAGAGAGACCCTACAAGTGTGCTGAGTGTGGGAAGGGCTTCAGTCAGAGCTCAAACCTCCACATTCATCGGTGCATCCACACAGGAGAGAAGCCTTACCAGTGCTACGAGTGTGGGAAGGGCTTCAGCCAGAGCTCAGATCTTCGCATCCATCTCAGAGTCCACACTGGAGAGAAGCCCTATCACTGTGGCAAGTGTGGGAAAGGGTTTAGCCAGAGTTCCAAACTCCTCATCCACCAGAGGGTGCACACTGGAGAGAAGCCCTATGAGTGTAGCAAGTGTGGAAAAGGATTCAGCCAGAGCTCCAACCTGCACATTCACCAGCGGGTTCACAAGAAAGATCCCCATTAAAGGATATGTACCACTCAGGTCTTCAGAGTATTTATACTGTTAAAACTGTCACATATTTTGGGCAGCGCCTGTGGCTCAAAGGAGTAGGGTGCCAGCCCCATATGCCGGAGGTGGTGGGTTCAAACCCAGCCCTGGCCAAAAACTGAACACACAAAAAAACTGTCACATATTTTTAACATCACTCTTACCTTTATATTTTACAGATAAGGGAGATGAAAAGTGTTATTTAGATGTATTTTCTCACTGAAAAATCATTCATTCATTTAAAGTATTTAAGTATCAAGCACTTGTTATGCTGTTGCAGAGAGACAAGGCCCAATGCAGAGAAAGAACACCCAAACACCATGTTTATAAGAGGAAGGGCCTCAGAGCAAGAGGCATAAACAAATTGAAAATAGCCACACTCCCCAACTGGCTTGGTCTTTCCCTTTTTATCTCCAGTCAAAAAGTTCCAACCATGGGTACCTTTCTCATTGGTCAGTTTGAATCAAGCAGGAAAAGTTGTTCTAGCCCCCACAGAATATAGGATTTCACAAAAGTGGAAATTTCCAGGACCCAGGAAGTTAAGGCTACAAATTCCTAAGAGCTGAGTCTCCATGGAGAGGATCCTGTAGGTGTATCCTTGGGGTCTCCCTGAGAAGACCTTTGTTTTCCTAGAACTCACCCTTCCCAGGTATCCTCTCTCATTCCCCCTTTTGAGACTCCATATATATTTTAATTTGGGGTCGCAATATGAGCTTGCTTCTGCAGGAACTGGTATTAATCAGTTTTCACATTCAACTTTTCTACAAAATCTAAGACATAGAAGTATTTCTGATCTGTCCTATAGTTTCTTTTGCAGCTCCTTCTGCTACAGGCATCAAACTTCAGAGTCCCCTGGCTGAGCTTTCCTATTTCCCTGCTCTGGACCAACTTTCAGATTTCAGGGACTGTGACTCCTCTCGGGTTCTCTACTCAGACCTTAATTGTATTGTAGAGGGGAGGCTAATATACATATGGGTTTTCACTTTTCCCTGTGTCACATATTGAGTACTGTATTTGATAATGAGTGCATGCTCCCTTCTGGGTGCCTTCACATTCATAAAAGCTATAAAGGAGTAACCCTTCGCCCTATCTCAGTGTTGTGGGTGTACAGATCACATCCCTCTTCCCCTTTTCCCAAAGTCCAATTAAGACAAGTCCTGCGAGAAGTTTCCTCAGGCTTCAGCTGTGAGTTGACCAGCCAGCTCCCAGGATGTGGCTAGAGCAAGGCTTATTGACTGTTTTAAAGTTACCTTTGCTTCCCACAGGGCAGTGAAATTCTCTTCAGCCAGCTGTGAGAAATCTAGGCAAGGATCTCTTCCACCTTCACTGCCGTGTGTGTGGTCAGGATGATGGTGCTGAGTACCTTCTACCTTGGTTTGAGGGGGCGGAGTTCTGATTCTTGACCTAGACTTGATTCCTTTGATCCACCAGAGAGAAAAGATGTACAGACACAAAAGGCTAAAGAGAACGCAGTTAATTACCCAAGTGGAGATTGTCCTTGCCACTCTTCCTAGGGCTTCTAATTGCCTGTTTGATTCAGTCTCTCCCAGTTCTCTTAGGAGTCCCTGCTAAATTGCAGAGGAATGATGAAGGCTTATATCCAATTAAGCTTTGCTTCCTGGCAGAGTTTACCAATTCCTGCTCTTATGGCCCTGTTCATGCACTCTACCCTGCCCAAGCTTTGAGGCCTTATGTCGCATATAGTTTCTAGGTGATATTCAAAGCTTTAGCTATCATTTGCACTATTTCTGTTATGAAGGCTAGTCCGTTGTCAAATTTAAACCAGAGTAGTAACCTAAACCATGGGATGATTTCTCTGGGCCAACACTTTTACTACTTCAGAGCCCTCTTTATCTTAGTGGTGAAGCCTTCCACCTATTCCAAGTACATGCAGACTAGAACTAGTCTACCACCAGTTACCGCTATATCTGGACAACTCAGTACAGTCCATTTGCATGTCTTTTTTTCTTTTTTTTTTTTTTAGACAGAGCCTCAAGCTGTCACCATGGGTAGAGTTCTGTGATATCACAGCTCACAGCAACCTCCAAATCCCGGGCTTATCCCAAGTGATTCTCTTGCCTCAGCCTCCCAAGTAGCTGGGACTACAGGCACCCGCCACAATGCTGTTGTTCAGCGGGCCTGGGCTGGATTCGAACCTGCTAGCTCAGGTGTATGTGGCTGGCGCCTTAGCTGCTTAAGCCACAGGTGCCAAGACCATTTGCATGTCTTAAAAGGGCTTCACTTGTAGGGCTGAATTGCAGGTGGCAGGGATGGTCCGTGTGTAGGATTGTGTTGGTTGCATGCCACACAATGCTGGCTGACTTCTTGGCAAGGTTGGCCAATAGGGAAATGTAAAAGTATCTCCCCAGAAGCCTCTTAATTTTCTTTTGCCTCTGTCCTAAGTGTATGGCCTCATGCATACAACCTCTATAACCAACCTCAGATTTTTACACAGTAAGCTTTTGTTGTTGTAGAGACAGAGTCCCACCCTATGCTCCTGAGCAGAGTACTATACTGCACCCTCAGACTCGGACTGTGAGCATCCTGCTGCCTCAGCCTCTAGAAGCCGCTGGGATTATAGGCACTCGCCCCAGTGCCCAGATGGGTTTTTCTTTTTTTCTTTCTTTTTTTTTTTTTTTTTTTTTTTTTTTTGATAGAGACAGAATCTCACTTTATCGCCCTCTCTAGAGTGCTGTGGCATCATACAGTACACAGCAACCTCTAGCTCCTGGGCTTAGGCAATTCTCTTGCCTCAGCCTCCCGAGTAGCTGGGACTACTGCAGGTGCCAGCCATGACACCTGGCTATTTTGTTGTTGTTGTTGCAGTTTGGCCAGGGCTGGGTTTGAACCTGCCATCCTCAGTATATGGTGCCCTACCCACTAAGCCACAGGCACTGCCTGGTTTTTCTATTTTTTTAGGAGTTGGGGGTCTCATTCTCAGGCAAATCTCAAACTCCTGAGCTCAAGCAATTCTCCTTCCTCAGCCTCCCACAGTGCTGGGATTACAGGTCTGAGCCACTGCACCCAGCCACAGTAAGCTTTGATATTCAATGAGGCATGAGTTGGTCAACCAATGATACCCCTCAGTGTTCATAAGAGTGTCCACTGTATATGGTACCCAGATTCTTAAGTTTTGTCCCAAAGTCAATTTATCAGCCTCTTGCACCAGCATGGCAGTGGCTGCAAGTGTTTTTAGGCATGGAGGCCATTCTTTCGAGATCCCATCAAGTTGCTTAGAGAGATAAGCGACTGGTCCTGCCCAGGATGCTACATTCTGGGTGAGCACTCCCCTAGCTGTTCTATTTCTTACCGATATGTTCTATTTCTTTCTTTCTTTTCAGTTCAAAAGACTTGGCCAGGTCAGGGAAGCCTGGCACCAGGACTGCCCACAGTTTTTCCTTTAGCTTCTTGCAGGCTTTTGGTTGACCAGATTTCTACTCAAGTGGTTCATTCTCTCCACCCTTAGTAACTTCATATGATGGTTTGGCCAGTCTGTATGTTCCACACAGTCATTCACAGAAATTCCAGAGCTTTCATCTAGCTTCTGCATGACCTCAGCTACTTTACATGTGTTTGTGGCTTTCTGGCTCCCTTACACTTACAGGGATAAAGCCAAAGTTGGGTTCAGCAAGAATGAAACCATTTAGCAATCACCTACAAATATCTGCAAGTTCAGGATTTCAAGGCTAAGGTTCACACAATGAGAACATTAGTATTCCTATTTACAGACTTAGCACAGTTCTTAAGATAATACTTAGCTTTAAGAGTCCCTACGGAACTGATCCAAAGTTCTGAACAATTCAAGTGAATATTCCTGAACATCAGTTGAGTGTGGAGCCACTTATAAGGCGTGTACAGTCACACCATTTACTGGGAAATTGTCATTCAGGTCCCAGTTTTTCCTGAGGTATCTATATAGACACAGCAGATAACATTTAATACTGCACAAATTTTTCCAGTGTAGTCAACGGGTGACCTTTGTAAGCCTGAAGGCTTCAGAGAAAATATAACTACTGCATATAATTCTATACTTTTTGGCCAGTCTCTTAGTCCAATTTAACAGATCAGTTTAGGAAAACAACCATGTCTCACTTTATGAGCTGGCGTTGCAGAGAAGGCTGGAATCTAATACAGATGGGCCACAGTTTTTTCCCCCTTTTGAAACATTTTTCTCTCCCTAATTTCTCACTTTACTAAAAACAAATTATAGCACAACTAATTCAGTTTTCAAAATAAATTGTACTTTCAGTATACTCAATCTGATTATTTGCATAAAGTGCAGCAAGAATAATTATTAGCCATTAGGTGGCACCTGTGGCTCAAAATAGTAGGGCACTGACCTCATATACTGGAGGTGGCGGGTTCAAACACAGCCATGGCCAAAAACTGCAAAATAATTATTATTATTATTAGCCATCTAGGCTTTTCTTCCTTTTAAAACTGGCTTTGCTGGGACCTTTTATAAGGAATCTCAGGTTAGACTTGAAAGCCTTCCATGAGCCCAGGTCTCATCTGTGCCATTAGATAGCTGTATGCATTGGATAAATTCCTCTTCTATTGAGGTCCCCAAATAAATTGTAGTTCCCAAACCTGTCAGTAAGGGACATTCTTTACTTACCACAGGTCAGGAAATGTTATTGATGGGTATCTGGCCAGTTTTTCCAAAGGACTTTTTTATCGGCCATATAAAGTGAACCTTAATTCCTTAACGCAATCTGGACAGCTCTCAAAATGCTATTTCAGTCAAAGCCTTGGTAAAATAACCAGTGCCTCCATCATGCCCTATAGAGCAAAACAGATTCTTTTTGAACTTATGCAAATAACTTTATTGTCAGAAATTAATAATACTAATGACTTTCAAATTCTGGAGAAATCAAGGAGAGAGAAAAATACATGTTTCAAACTCTGCTCATAAGTACATACATTGCTTGAAAAGCTACAAATAGCTCAAAAGACAGAAAATGGTTTTCTTGACTTCTGG